CAAGTTTTAATTTGGGAAGGGAATGGCCATTATATATAATCTCAGTTGACTCAATTACAAAGACACTGGATGAAGTTTGTAGGATCAATCAACTTTATATACATATCCTTGATCAGTGTGCATGTAACTGCTGTGAAGCATTGGTTGTAATTCTTGTAAACTGGTGATTTAAAATATTAGCTGCAGAAATTTTCATTTCAAAAGATAGAAATGTTATTTTTAAAAAGTTTAAATTATATTTTGTTGGTTTTGAACCAAAAAAAAAAAGTGGTACAAGAACAAAAATGAAAGTTTGGATTCTGAGTTTTCTTACGAACACTTGATTATTGAGATTTGATAGGCTAAATTTAAAGCTTTAAGCTTTCAGTCCTAATATAAAATGTTTGATAATTTTCACGTCACTGATAAAGAGTCTATTGCTTTTGATGGGTTACTAATTAATCATACAAGAATAAGAACGAATTGAATAGCATTACTACAATTTATCTCTTACTCGTATTTTATGGTTTTTTATTGTTCTGCCAATTAGAAGTAGAAGTTTGCCTCCCAAAGGTTGCTCAAGGTATTAATTGCAAAAGTCTTATCAATACCAAGTGAAGATTGAAGTAGAAGTTTTGTGTATGTTTGAGATCTTGGCTTCGCCATTGTATCTCTATGCTTCTGGTTCTTGGAGATTCCGGTGAAGCAAAGAAAGTTGAAAGGACTAGCGATACTCATAACTTTTGTTTTAAGGGTTGTTTGTTTCGGTGTAAGAGTTAAGTCTTTCTTTAGTTTCGTGTGATCTTCTTTTCTATGTTTTCCTTGGTTGGGCTTATGGCTCCGAACGAATTTGTTATCTTGCTGGCTTTTGGCTCCGGATGGATTTGTTTCATGCCAGCTCATGACTCGTGTAATATCAGCTTCTAAGTATCAATATAAAATAAAAGGAGTAGTTCGCCCTAACGACGAAGCGATTTCTTCTCTCGGGCACGGGGCTCGAGGACGAGCTCGCCCTAACGACGAAGGCCAAGATTTCTCTGAAAAAAACCGCCGCCGCTGCTCTGTCTCCGCCAGACTCTCCACCCGGACCGGAGATCTCTGACTTGAAGAAACGCTGCGCCTCCTCTTCGCCGAAGCTCCTCCGTCCAGGTCCTCCTCTCTCCTTGAAGCATCATTGTTCCTCTCACTAAGCCCCCTCGGTCTCTTCCTCTGGTTCTATGGTTCATAGATATGCTCCAAATGTTGTGCTCTCAATCCCCTCGAAACCAGTAGCCTCGATTATGAAGATGACTGCCTCTCACCTACGGGTCATGCTCTTTCCTGCTCGGCCGGACCTTCAGAAACCGACGGAACCGCCAGATCCTTCTGTACCACCAAATACGCCGCCTTTCTCTTTGGTAATCATTCTCGGCTCTATCCATGTCGTGTTACAATGTCAACATACTTGTTCTTGTGGTCCTTCGAACCATCTCTACACTGCTGCTTCACCGTCGTTTTCACCGGAAAAAAGTCTCGATGCTTTTTGGCCTTTTTGGTGAAGTTGGGTCTTTTTGAATTAATTGTGGGCATGCCATTGCTTAGCTCGTTAAAGACCTTTAGTTCCTCCATATCGAGCGTGGAGAGTTCACTTTCCCTCCGATGGATTTATTTCCAACAACTGTTTTGCCTCAAATCGCCACATGTGTCTAATGCGAGCTTCACTGTCTTCGTGACGGGTAAAAGTTAAGTCTCTAGCGTGTCTCTTTTCGGGAATCTTCCCGATGTTGCTCTTATATTGGGCATGTGCCAATATATGTCTATGCCAAAGCTCATATCTTGTGCTGTTGATTACTCTCCGGAGATCTCAAGCAAGATGGCAATGTTGTTACTTGGCTCGTTAAAATCCTTATCCTCCAATTCGAGCCTGGAGAGACCACCACCACCACCCTTTGTCTTCCTAGATTGGCGTATCGGGATAGTTAGGATCTATTCGGAAGTGGTGATGTCGAGATTAGCAACCTCCTTCCTATGGAAGGGACCTTTGCAACTCTGAGAGGTGAACTTATCCAGAGCGTAATGTTGGAAAAAACTATGAATGTTTTTGTCTATGTGCTTTTTTGTGTAGTGGTTCTTATGGCATCCGAAGAAACAAACAGAATTGCTTTGGCGACTTTCGGAGGCAAGACTTCAGCTTCAACGTCATTATATGTGACTAAATCCAACCGTTGCGGCTTTGCCGGCAAGATCTCATCGACGCATTCGAGTTTAACTACGAATTTGATGTCATTTGATCACTCTCTATCTGCTTTAATGTTTTTTGTCTTTAATTTGTAACTTCCGAAGATGGATAATTCTCTCTTATAGTGCGGAAGAGTAAAAAATAAAAAGAATATATTGAACCAAAAAAAATATCAATATAATCAATTTAGATTACAAAAAAGAAAAAAAATTGCAGACCAGAACTTGATTTGACCAGCAACTATAAACCAATCGAACCCAGAGACATGTTATTGAATTCACATTATCATATGAGTTTCTCTTTCTAAAGATATGATGACCTTCTGAACTTTCGGTATATCATTTTCATAAATAGGTTGATGGTTTTTTTTTCGGAAATTTTACAGTAATTGTCGTTTTTCCAAAATTTCTATACCAATTGCCATTTATTTAATTTCTTTTTCCAGTCATAATTCAATGTTCATTCCTACTAAAAATAACTATTATGCCTTTGTAATTTATCTCTTCTTGTATCATCATGACATTATTATCTGTTTTTGT